CCCGGGGGCTGGACCTGGGTAGTGCGGACTAGGGTGCCTAGTCCGAACTACCGGTACACCTCGTTTCACGAGGAGTAACGGTAGTTCGGACTAGGAACCTAGTCCGAACTACCTAGTTCGAGCCCCGTGTAGCCGCGCTGCATGGGGTTCGAAGCAGCGGGGATTTAAAAATGGCGGCTCCCCGCTTATGCTAATGAAGCCCGGGAAATTCAAATCCCGGGCTTCATTAGCAAGTGCGGTATGCATACATTACCCCGCTAGTTCGAACTAGCGGGGTAGTGTAGACATACCCACAGTGATTAACTAGTCTAACCTCCTCTCTAATTCATCTGAAGAAGTGGGCTGTGCCCATGAAAGCTCATGAGACCATCTACATATTTTGTTAGTCTCTAAGGTGCTGCAGAACTATTCTTTGTTTAAGTTGTCTCCTCTAATGCAGGTCAGAGAACTTTTTCAAAGCCCACAGTTGCGTTTGAAATGGAGCATAGACCTAGAACTTTTGGAAAAAAAAACCCATCATCATAATTCGTAAGTTACCAGTGGCATAGAATCCATCACAGCCTTTATTGGATTGTTCCAATAGTTAGCTACCTTCGCTGTTAAACAAAAAAAGAAACCACTTACGTCTAGTCTAAATTTTTGTAGCTTCAACTTCCAGCTGTTGATCTTATTAGACTGAAAAGCCCTCGATTATCAAATTTCTGTTCCTCATCAAAGTATCTAGTCTATAATCAAGTCGCCTATTAGTCTTCTCTTTATTAAGCTAAATAGACTGAGCTCCTTGAATTTTTCACTAGAAGGCATATTTTCTAATCCTTTAAATCATTCTCAGGGTTCTTCTCTTAACTCTCTGCAGTTTTTCAACATCTTTCCTAAAATGTAGACACCAGAACTGATGCAGCATTCCAGTACAGCTTGCACCAGTACCAAATACATAGGTCAGTATAACATCTCTACTCCTACTCTACATTTCCTTTTATACATGCAAGAATCACTTTAACCTTGTCGGCCACAGAATTGCACTGGAAGCTCACATTCAGCCGACACAATCCAACATGATTCCATGAGGAAAAAAACCAAACAAACCAACCCAGATGTTTTGATAAAATTTTATCCACTTTTTTTGTATTTTCTAAATACCGTAAACTTTCAAAAAAATCATTTTGTAAACATTTTTCAATATTTGCACCATAGCAAAAAGCAAATTGGAAAGAAGAAAAAAAATATATATATAGTGAAATACACTTTTTTTTCCATAATATTCTGCACCTTTTTTACAGAGGGATTTTTTAAAAAAACTACTTCAAGTAGTTTAAAGAAAGAATTTTCAATGGCACCTTTTCTTAAAAAGAGAAACAAATCCACACACCTCTGACAAATGTATAATAATGTGTAATAATGAAATGAAAATAATTCCATTTTGAAAATGATTTTGAATGTCTGTATATCACTTCGGGTTTTTTTAAACCAATGTTCTGTAGAATAGGCAGAACCAATATCCCACATCATACACAGAGGACTCTGGCGAGGACAAAACCTGGATCCAAACTTTAAGCATTGGGGCCCATCTCTACTATATATTAATATGGATCAACACCCAATCTCTCTCACTCTCACACCACTCCATTAAACAATGTTGAAGCCCAGAGGTTCCTTTGCTTTTGGATTAAAGAAAGTTCCTTAAGCACATAAATCCCTCGGTCTTGTCAATATCCATTGATTTCTTTAGGTGGGAGGTTCCGCAACTGAAGAGAAGTGTGCCATTTAACTGCATATCAAATTTTTATACTATTTATCCTCTGCTGACAGCTACTGGCAGGGACTGAAAATATGTCACTTCAAATGAAAAGCAAAAGGAACACTAATTCTCTAATTAGGATCCTATTATTTTAGGTTGCAACTATGGCCTCAAGACCTATAATTCTGAGTGAGCATGTACGAATAATAAAAAGACAGACCAACCCAGGGGCCAGACAGACACTCATGGTTTTGATGTATGGTTTGTACATTTACCAACGCTACAAAAGAGAGCTGTGTGCTTTGCACACATGTACACAGTCTAGCATTTGGGTGTTTCCCATAGCACAGACACCCTATCGTTGCTGGATGTTGACAAGCACCAGTAATAGCTCACTTTGTGTCTCTCATCCCCACTTGAGCTGCTTTTATAAAACTACAACAAACCTCTCGTCCCGTCCCCCCCCCGTGCTGCATGTGCGTGCACATGCATGCACATGTCCTTTGATACAGGAAATTCTCAATTTTGACTGAACACACAAGGTCAGACCCAGAGGCCCTCCCTCCATTTTTACTTACTGTATTTTCCGGCGTATAAGACGACTTTTGATGTTAAAAAACATCCCCCCAAAATCGGGGGTCCTCTTATACGCCGGGTATGTGGCTTTGCAAAGCCTCGGGGGAAGCCGGCAGTGGGACAGCCCCGGCGCGCCTGGGATGCCCCGCCGCCGGCTTCCCCCAGGCTTTGCAAAGCCGCATATCCGGCGTATAAGACGACCCCCGATTTTGGGGGGATGTTTTTTAACATCAAAAGTCGTCTTATACGCCGGAA